CATCCCACGGAGCTGTAATAATGGATATATTGCACATGTTTGCTGTAATTCATTGTCATACTACATGGGCTGTATGATTAAATCTTGTACCGTAAATGTTGTATTAAATAAAGATAATATTACCGGCATTATTAACGTCCCTGTAGCTTCGTATTGCACTAAGAAGCTTATTGCACTGTATATAAATATATATATATATATACAGTGCAATAATAATTTCATGCTAAATGAAGCTCTGTTGGATATCACTAGATCCTGTTACAGCGTAATATAAGTACATAACGATTGATGTGTACATTAGCATCATTACTAGCTAGCCGCTAGCTGCTAACTGCCGCCTCGTTCATATCAAATCCATGATAACAACAATCTATTACCATGCTGTCATGAACGCGCAGTGCTGTTACGTGTACGCAAATTGACGTGCTTGATGTGAACGAGCATTTTGGTTAAAGTTGCGCATGCTCTATGAGTGCACATACAGGTACTTCTCAGGCATGCTGGGTAATCTGTGACATTTCACTCTCTCAAAAGTTGGGCCATTTTATCATCATGGGCTAATGAGCAGCTCTCATAGGAATGAGTGTATGAGTATGTACTCATAGTGTGTATTTGTCATTCAAAACAGGCAACAACCGGAAGACAGAGAAGAAGAACAGACTGCGTGATATAAACAAACAACTAATAGCTGTGCGTTAGCTTCACCTTAGCATGTGTTCTTTGCAGGTGTTTGTTGAGGTTTGACGTGGTGTTTCCAGCAGTGGATAACAGCTTCTGGCCTGGAAACAGTTTGCACCTCACCATCACATTCCTGTCTATTCTTTGGACGAACTCAAAATAATGGGCATACCTCCACCCCTCGAGAGTTATCGCTGACTCAGCCATGTTTATGCAGCACTGCACGTGGAGATGTGGACGCGCAAGTCGCACAGATTACGTACATATAAACCTACAAAGTACTGATATAGTAAATAAAAAAATAATTATTTTTGTGTAGTTGTATATTGCAATAATAACGTATGGTTGTCACAAAATCCCACGGCACACCCGGACTTGCCTCACGGCACACCAGTGTGCCGCGGCACACCGTTTGGTAACCACTGATTTATGCTATGCCTTCAGTGGTAACTCAGATGCTTACATGGACTTGTATGTTTTTACTTCATATCTAACAGAAGTAAGGGAGAAAGAGATGGGGAAGTGAGTAAAGAGGGAGATGAAGAAGAGAGAGGGATGAGAAAGAGAAAATAGAAAGAGATGGGGAAGTGAGTAAAGAGGGAGATGAGAGGGAGATGTGGAAGAGAGGGATGGGAAGGAGGAGAGATATTTGCGAGTTGCATACTGACTGAGTTTTCTCGATTAATAGCTTATATAGACAATACCATGCTTAAATAGACTCCTAAGTTATTGTTTCATATGTGACAATATGTAAGAAAAGGGAGGGAAGAGTCAATTATATTGAGCAATTGATTTCATATTGGAACATTCATTTCTCAAACCTATGTTTTATGGAAGAGGAAATGTACTTCTGATAAACTAATCCTTGATCAAACGGTAAATGGTGAATTAATATAACATTTAGAATCATTGAGAAAGGGTTATTCCACAGGGACTAGCTCACATTTAACTTAAAATAACATGTCTCTGCTTTGGACTGATGAGTATATGATTCTTGCATGTTAAACGACTAACATAAACCTTACATTTATAATGTGCATGTGTCAGGAAGGCTCCCAAAGCATTCTGAGGGGGCCTATCCTATTTTTGTAATTGAATGATAATGTGCTAATCCATTACTTTGAGTTGTCTGCACTCAGGAAAACATCCCTATCAAGTGTTAAACAGCTCTGAAGGCCAAGGGTCAGAGAGAGAATCACACTCTGCGGCTGCAGAGAGCAACTTATCCACGGGCAAGGAGGTCGTTCGAGATGAGAGGATTCTAATCTTCAACTTTCTGATGAGATGGGATGCTTCTTCATCTTTCTGCTCGGTGGGCTCAGGCAGACAACTCTACAGGACGAGCGATGGTTTCAGAGGCATCTGGATGTGCCACTTGGAATAGGCAGGTGCACTGCTCTCAAGCAGATAGCAGAAGGAATGCAGGCAGATGAGCCTCTGTTTCACTGGGAGATCATAAAGCGCTCACTGAATTGAGCCACAAAAGCAGAGCAATTGGGGGGGATTGAGATATGGCGCTCTGATGAAGAAGAGTTTTGAGCCAATCAGCACCTCAGTGCTAATCTACAGTATCAGGATGCCTTTACACACCAGACATTCTGTGTCATAAAGAGAGGAGGAGAACATGTTCTTCTAGCTCTGATACAAAGATAACATTTGAATTGAATGACCAGATGATTACAGATGTACAATTAATGATTGTTTTTGTATTCCCAATGAACAGATATGTGTTAAATAGTGGTGATAAATATATTTTGTCAGATCAGATTACACTTTCACACTAAACAAATACATTAATTGATATTTTCAGATTATAAAGGTATTGAACAATAAGATATTTCTAATATTATAACAGACAATGTTACTATCCTTAATCATTACCAGGTAAAACCAGATTACAAGGCTCCCAATTCAGCGATTGAAATTGATTACAGTTGACACTCTGAATAAAGAACAGATGTTTTGATTTTTTCCTTTTCAGGTTGTTATACAATAAAATGTTTGATTCTTCCTTTTCAGATTCTTAAACATTTTGAGAATTGTTTAGTTTTCCCTTCAGATTTTGAAATGACATAATGATTGATAGTTGAAGTAATGTAATTAATTAAATATCATGCCTTACTCTTGAATAAAGCGTAATGAAGTAAACGTAAAGTAATGTTAAAGATTGAGGACACTGTAACTTTACAGATTACAGATTGATCGATTCATCACTGTGAATTTATACCTTAGCTAGGAACCTTAGCTGGATCTCATGATTCTGATTTTATACCTCAATTGGATTTCTTATAAATCCTAAATTCTAATTGTGTTTTAATAAGTAATTGCCTTGAAGTAAATCTTTGAGATGTAAGCTGATTTAGAATTTGTGTTTGATGAATGAGATTAACTTAGTGATAAATGATAAAAGATCTTATTTTTGAAACATATATTTTGCTATAATATTGTTGTATTTCACGTGTTTATTATTGTGCTTTTTGACAAATGATGCCAAACACTGAAGAGAGATGATTTCTATTATGATTGACTGTGTTCAATCATGGTGATTGAAGTGTTTTCAATCTTGTTCTACTTTTGATGTAATTCATGTGAGTGATCCCACACAACTCTGAAGACGCTTATTGATTTAAGTATTGACTGAAATATTCTTTAGACTAATGTTAATTGATTATCATAAATTGATAAAAGGGTGGATCTGTAAAGGAATATTTTAGTCTGATGCTTAGCTGACCTGAGAAACTTCACATGAGTGACTACTCTTTCTCTGTGTGGGGGAAGGGTTTACTGCCCGCTCAGACAGAGTTTCTTTGTCTGTTCATCTGTAATCGATTGGGGTAAAGGCCCGCGTTTCTGGGCTCCGCCCCTTCTCAGAGACCAGGTTCGAGCGCTTCCGTCTTTGTGTGGGCAGAGTTAATTTTGGCAGCTTGCATTGAACAGTACGAGTTGCTTTGTTAATCCTCCGGCCGTTTTGTCTCTCAATAAATATCAGTGTATTGACTAAGGCAAATCCAGTTTCCCTCATTTCATGATTGGCTCAACATTGCTGCAAAGAAGTTTTTACTTCACAATATCCAGAACGATCTTTAGCACTGTGTTCGAAATTACCAGCTCAAAAGCAGACTTGATGTCTGTGACACGAGAGACTGGTGGGCCCTGGCACTGCCTTCATTATGTTTGCTGCCGATAGTGTTGCCTGGCGTCCATTAGGGGATGAGGACCACTGCATTTCACCATTTTTGGACATGAATGTCTCATCTGGGCGAATATCAGTTTCCTCATCTGATTGATCATAATCATAATCTTCATCTTCATTGTTTACCTCAAGGTAGTCTTCATCCTCAGAAACGTTCTCCTCTATCTCGCTGTCGTGATCCTCCTCAAGGATGTATTCCATATAGCCCAGGGCTATCCTCTCTTCACTTGCGTTGCTCATTTTGTCTGATAGTATTGTGAGTATACTGTACGTTAAGTGCAGAGTATAATGTATCTCAGTGTGGGAGGAGCTTACCCATTACACTTTTGAGACTTGAACCCTCTGACCCCCACTTTCACTAACAGGTGCGGTGTGTATTTGTGTGTGTATTTGTGTAAATCTGTCTGTCTATCTGTCTTTTTCTGTGTGGAAAATTACGATATACTGTATATCGCATTTGAACCCTCTGACCCCTTTCTCCACTTTCACTGGTGTGTGTGTGTGTGTGTGTGTGTGTGTGTGTGTGTGTGTGTGTGTGTGTGTGTGTGTGTGTGTGTGTGTGTGTGTGTGTGTGTGTGTGTGTGTGTGTGTGTGTGTGTGTGTGTGTGTGTGTGTGTGTGTGTGTGTGTGTGTATGGATGTGTGTGTGTGTGTGTGTGTGTGTATTTCTGATCCCTTTTAGCCTCCACTTTCACTGCCGGGTCAGACTGAATACCATCTCTGTGATATAGACATGTAGGGGGGGGTTCCAAATGCATGACATGAACCATTTTCATTTTACTTGTTTATTACACTGATGAAGGTAAGTAGAAGAAGTTTCATACAAAAAAAATACTTGAAAGTATTTTTCATAGATTTTCAAACTTTCAAACGGGTCAATTTGACCCTGAATGTAACAGGAGGGTCCAAACTGTACAACACTCACCAGCTCGTCACCCAACCTGCTGTGGTTGACATAAAGCTCATTCCTATCACTATTGTGTTTCTGTGTGACGCTGTTGAGTTCTCATTATACCATTTACGTGTGCTGGTAGCAGTTAACCATCAAAGCCTTTTTACCCATTCAGATACTGGTTTATGACAGGGCATTCTCTTTTCATACATTATCTATATGCAGCGACTCCCCCTACCTGTCCGTCCAGCAGTCCGTTGAGCTTGGCGAGGGACCGTAGAGATAAGGTGTGCGGGACCTCGGGGTCTTTCCCCATCCTCCTGGCCTGCTGAGTGGCGCTGCGGCTGCAGTACCACGACACCAGGAAGCCCGACAAGATGGCGCCCAGCGAGAAGGCCACCAACACGCAGGCCAGCAGCAGGGTGTAGTGGACGTTAGCAGCAGCATGCTCCATATCTGGAAAACCACGGACACCTGAAGACACAAAACACTTTCCACTTAACATAGTTAAAGATTAGTCAATACTTGCACCTTCAGGAATATTTCCAAACCAAAATGAGTTGTTAAAACAGGATGGTGCATGGCCTAGTTACTGTATATACGTAATTATTACAATACTTGATTCAGATTTGATATGGACATTCTGCTATTGAGAAAGAACAGAACGATAAGAACTCTCTGGGGCCATGTGCAGTCTTATCAAGCAACAGTAAGAATGTGTGCATTATTATGTCAACAAACTGTGGGATTTTTGTGCTGAAATTGAAATGTTGGATTCATGAGGCCTAAACTCTCCCCAGTAAAGAAAAAAAAAGAGAAGAAGAGAACGAAAGAGTTTAAAAGACAGAAGGGTAGTAAACACTAACAGGAACAGCAGAAGAAGACAGGCAGGAAGTAAACACTAAAGGGAACACCAGAAGAAGACAGGCAGGAAGTAAACACTAAAGGGAACAGCAGAAGAAGACAGGCAGGAAGTAAACACTAACAGGAACAGCAGAAGAAGACAGGCAGGAAGTAAACACTAAAGGGAACACCAGAAGAAGACAGGCAGGAAGTAAACACTAAAGGGAACAGCAGAAGAAGACAGGCAGGAAGTAAACACTAAAGGGAACAGCAGAAGAAGACAGGAAGTAAATGAGGAGGACGCTGACATGTGAAGAAAGAGAGGAGCAGCAGAGAGACGAGGAGGAAAGAGAGATGAAGGAGAGAGGAGATGAAAGTGATTATTGTTAGTCAGGTCCAGATACAGCATCAAAGCCTCTCTAACACACACACACACACACACACACACACACACACACACACACACACACACACACACACACACACACACACCAGTAACAGAGAGAGAGAGCAGAAGGTGAAATAAAATGAAGAAAAGACACAGTCTGCTGTATGAAGCTCAGCGCAAGTTCAACCAGGAAGACTGTCTTTACTCATTCATTTACTATGTCTGTGTCACTACTCTCTCTCCTCTCAATAAGTGATCCCTCCCCAGCTTTACCAATCACTTCGCTCTATTCTCACAAGCCTATCATAGCGCTCCGCTAAACCTTTTAAATCTGCTCCCCCCTCTGACAGCTGTCATTATATATATATCCCAGACTTTAAAATATCGATCTCTCTGATCAACTATCAGTGTACACAGCAGAAATGCTGCTGTAATAATAGGACTACAGTGGGTTGGAGAGGTCAGACCTGATAGGGTGGTGATATGCACAGATTCATTATCCATATTAAAAAGCATACAGTCAACAACAACTGTCAGAGAAGACATTCACATAGAACTTAACGATAGCCTGTTAAGACTGCACAGAGGCGGCATAGATCTACAGTTCTGCTGGGTGCCTGCACACAAAGGGGTAACGTGCTGATAAATGAGCAAAAAGTGCACTACAAAATGAAATAACATTACCAGTTCAACTTGGTAAATGAGAAGGAAAAGCAGTCATTAAGAAACAAGGGATGGAGATCTGGCAGAAGAGGTGGGAGGAAGCCCAGTAAAGGCAAAGAGTATCACAAAGTACAAAAGACAATTACAATTAATATTCATAAAGAAAGAAACAGAAGGGAGGAAATCATGATAGCTAGACTCAGACTGGATCACACAGCTTTGAATGGTACGCTGCATGTCATGGTGAAAAGTGACAGTAACAAGTGTGGGAACTGTGGCGTAAAAGAAGATGTAGAACATAATCTTGTTACATTGTGACATCTATAAAGCGGAAAGAGAACAACTAAAGGATAAAGTCTTAGAGGCAGAGAGGGAGTGGAGTGTGGTTGGTGTTTTGGGAACAAAAGGAGAGGGAGTAAGAGCTACCAGAAAGGCACTGTTTCAATTCTTGAGTGAAACTGGGGTAGGACAAATAATTTAACATTAAGTCAGGAAGAACATAGATTTGTATTTTTGTTTTATTTATTTCATGTTTTTTTTAATTTATTTTTTATTTTTTTTATTTTTTTATTAGATCATAGATTAAAGAGTTGGAATGATAGGATGATTTATACTCATGTACAGTAGGTAGCGGTATGCACCTTTTAAGTTGTTTGCAATCCGCCAAAAACGAGAGAAGAAGAAGAAGTCATTTCAGGTGACTCGACACAACACACAGACGGCAATCGTCAAACTCGTACTTCATGGTATTATGATTCTCAAGACGTCCGATTCAGAGTACTCAGACCACAACCAGATTCCTAGTGATGGCGAGATGAAGCTTTGAAGCTTTCCAGCCAATTGGTTCGCAAAATGGTTCATCTCATGAGGCTTCATCATGGGGCCCTTCTCACTTCTCTTATTTTTCATTTCCTCGCTCCTCGCTCCTCGGTCTCACCGGAAGTTGATTTGTCTGCGCCATCTTGAGTAGCGTCCCAATGGCCTTATTTTTGCCGGAGGAGCGAGGAGCGATAATGGAAGAGCTTTAACCGAGGAACCACCAGACCATCCTTCGATGAAATCCTCAGACACTCCCCCCGCCCCCTTACTGTGTATCGCTTACTTATTGGACGATGCAGCGTATGCACTGATCTGATGCTTCTTGACATGAGAGCAGTTTCCCAGCGGAGTGAAGAAAACACATGAACCTCACGGGAGTCACTCCTCAGTTTATACCGTGTTTTGTTTCAATTCATGTTTCATTGAGTTACAAATATGTGATATATCTGAACAACAACGTGGTCAAAAATCATTTTATTCATTTATTGGAAACATTTTCATGATCGCTTTTTTCGTTATTTAAGAATGGCGTTTATCTTTTTTGAGAATAAGTTCTTTTTTTTTAACGTATTTGGGTCTATAACAGATGATACAAATGTTTGTGTCAGTAAATGTGTACTAACAGAGGCGGGGGTGTGTGTGGAAATAACGGGGACAGAGCTGGCTGCTGTCAGATGATCAGCTGTGCGGCGTCATCACAAACGGACGTCGCTTCACGTGACGCTCCGGAGGAAAGGACGTCCCATTGCTCTTTAAACTCATTTCCCTGCTTCTCGTGGTTTCCTTGCGTCTCTCCATGCTTCCCTGGTGGGAGGGACTAGTCGCAGGGAAACTAAGCAAGTGAGGGAGGCAAGGAATCCATTTAACCGAAGTGAGAAGGGCCCATGGGCTTCATTTGAACACAAACCCCCTGTTGGTCAAAGTGTGTAAAACAGGCAGATTGGACATCTCAACAGTGTGCTGTACACTGTAAAAAATGGCAGTGAAATCCACAGTTATTTACAGTGTTTGTGCACAACCAATCACAGAGCTTGATAACTAATCACAGGGTTTGTCAAACAGAGCACATGGTGTAGTCCTAAACGATAGCTGGGGATTCTGGGTAGTGTAGTGTCTTCTGCCATCCTTTACTCCGAAAAAATATTTGTTTCTCCGAATCGAAGGGGAAAAATACAAAAGCATTGCACACAATTTAAACCAATCAATGTTGTGTAATTAACAAGGATAATCTGGTGTTTTTTAGTCGATGAGTAGTGCAGATATCACTGTAAAATCAATCGACAGTAAGGGGAATACTTACTTCCGGGTGTACAATTCTCCGTTATCCAATGGGAATGGACGCTCACATTGCCTTTAAGGGCAGCCGACACAAACGAATGCCGTGCTTCCATGAGCGTCAAATCCCGCCGCAGATGGGAATACATTGCAATCAGTTGAAAGCTATTTGCGTCCCTTTATGAAGCTGAAGGAGCCTAGGAGCGTCACAACTGCACGCCACAGGGACCCTGACCAAGCGTTGCTCCTGGACGATTATGGAGTGAGAGTGTGTTGGATTATTGCACAGGTGTGCCTTAGGCTGGTCACAATAAAAGGCCACTCTGAAACGTGCAGTTTTGCTTTATTGGGGGGGTCTGGGGCGGTCCGAAAACCAGTCAGTATCTGGTGTGACCACCATTTGCCTCACGCAGTGCAACACATCTCCTTCGCATAGAGTTGATCAGGTTGTTGATTGTGGCCTGTGGAATGTTGGTCCACTCCTCTTCAATGGCTGTGCGAAGTTGCTGGATATTGGCAGGAACTGGAACACGCTGTCGTATACGCCGATCCAGAGCATCCCAAACATGCTCAATGGGTGACATGTCCGGTGAGTATGCTGGCCATGCAAGAACTGGGATGTTTTCAGCCTCCATGAATACTTGCAACATGGGGCCGTGCATTATCATGCTACAACATGAGGTGATGGTTGTGGATGAATGGCACAACAATGGGCCTCAGGATCTCGTCACGGTATCTCTGTGCATTCACAATGCCATCAATAAAATGCACCTGTGTTCGTCGTCCATAACATACGCCTGCCCATACCATAACCCCACCACCACCATGGGCCACTCGATTCACAACATTGACATCAGAAAACCGCTCACCCACACGACGCCACACACGCTGTCTGCCATCTGCCCTGAACAGTGAAAACCGGGATTCATCCGTGAAGAGAACACCTCTCCAACGTGCCAGACGCCATCGAATGTGAGCATTTGCCCACTCAAGTCGGTTACGACGACGGACCGGAGTCAGGTCGAGACCCCGATGAGGACGACGAGCATGCAGATGAGCTTCCCTGAGACGGTTTCTGACAGTTTGTGCAGAAATTATTTGGTTATGCAAACCGATTGTTGCAGCATCTGTCCGAGTGGCTGGTCTCAGACGATCTTGGAGATGAACATGCTGGATGTGGAGGTCCTGGGCTGGTGTGGTTACACGTGGTCTGCGGTTGTGAGGCCGGTTGGATGTACTGCCAAATTCTCTGAAACGCCTTTGGAGACGGCTTATGGTAGAGAAATGAACATTCAATTCACGGGCAACAGCTCTGGTGGACATTCCTGCTGTCAGCATGCCAATTGCACGCTCCCTCAAAACTTGCGACATCTGTGGCATTGTGCTGTGTGATAAAACTGAACGTTTCAGAGTGGCCTTTTATTGTGGCCAGCCTAAGGCACACCTGTGCAATAATCATGCTGTCTAATCAGCATCTTGATATGCC